GGGGAGCAGGGAGCGTTCCAGGAAGCCCTGTATTTCCAGAGCCTGCCAGCCCGCCGGCAGCAGCTACACCAGCCCCCAACCTCGGTCTGGCGGGGGGGAGGAAGGCTGGAATTCCCAATTCTCCAGGGGGGACAGTGTGGGTGACGAGATTCCCTGCAGGCAACGGGCAGGTCCGTTCATTTCCCTTGCACTCCGGGGCTCTTCAGTTGCACCCCCCGCTCCTGCGGCTTTGCAGTGCTTGTGGAAAAGCTCGTTATCGACACGGCGCATCGCAGGAGCATGTGAAGTCTGTAACCCCGGCAACTGAGCTGTGTCTATCTGGGCTCCTCTTCCCCGAGTCCTGCCAGCAGCTCGCAAGCTGTTCGCCTGCTGCGCCCAGCGACGGCCAGGGAGGCGCCAGGCTTACGGACACCCTGCTAGCAGGGAAAGGGGAAGGGTGGGGAGGAGCGTGAGGCAGGGAGGGAGCAGACACATGCCTCGGCCCCTAAGAGAGCCTCCTGTTGACACAGAAACTTGATTTTACTTTCCCTTGGCTTTGATTCACGCCCCCGGGGACGGGACACGGGCCCTCTTGGTGCACCACTAGATCCTGCTTGTCACCTAGCTATCCGCGTCCTTAGCCGCCGAGGGGGACTGGGAAGCCGGGCAGGCGCTGGGGTTGCTTTCCTCAAGCTGTTCAGCATAAGTGGTGGGTGAAGGTAGGGCTGGGGGAGGGGAGCCCCTCAGACCCACCCTAGCCCCGCCCCTTCTGCCCAGGCCCCGCCCCCTGCACCAGGTGCACCAGCCTTCCGCCCAGCGCCACAGGGAGGGAGGGAGGAAGGCATGGGGTCCCAGCCTCCCTGGCCCCGGAGCATCAGGAAAGGCCCCAGCCGCCTCAGCCCTGGAGCAGATGGAGGGCAGGCGCCCCGAGGCGGCAACTCTCCGCCCCCAGAACGCCTCTAGTGTAGGCGGAGCGTGGGCGGGGCCAGGCTGGCGGCTCGGAAAGGCAATGCCTCTCCCTGCCTAGCACATCCGCCGCCCATGCTGTCCAGGGAGCTGGTGTCACAGCCGGGAGCAGCGGGAAACGGTGACCCGCTCCGCACTGCTTCCCGCCGCTCCGATTGGCCAGGGCTCGCCCCTCCCGGCCAATGAGAGCTGCGATCTGCTGAGCCCTAGTGGCCGTGGCCCACCGGGGACTAACCCTGTCGGGTCGCCGTTTTGTCATTGCCTGCCCCGGCTCTAGCTGGAACAGTTGCCAAATAATCACAGTTGCCAAAATGAAAATAACTCCCCTCCCCAGGCTCGACAGCGGGGCCTGAACTCAGTCCCATCCAGCGCGGGCCTCTCCCTTTGAGCTAAAGGAGTAACTTCGCGGGCAGCAGTTGTAGGCTGTTACCTTCGAGCGGCCCAAACTCGGGGAGCAGGAACGGGACCCTGCGTGTACTCGGTCAGGGTGTTACACAGGGTGCGGGGACGCAAACTGCTGGGCGTTCATCCTGGCAAACCAGGAGCCGGGGCAGGCTTGAGGCTTCATGTTTATCCCTCCAGCGCCTCCTCCTCAGAATCTCGTTGGAGAGCCGAGGCCTGAAAAGGCCCCTCACACACAGAGCATCCTTTATGTGCCAGCCGGGAACAGCTGCAGAAGGGGCTTACGAGCCACCAGAGCAGTTTCCTGGGCAGTCTGCCTCCCCAGCCCCGCCCCCGCTAACCCAGGCCAGCTGTAAAAAGCCCAGCTCCCTCCGTGTCTTCTCCTGACCCCCCTGCTTCTATTTGAATGAATAATATTAACTACATCGCTGGAGTGAGAGAGCAGCTGAGCACGGGCAACAGGCTGTTTCACGTGGCCCAAGCTAGTGCCAGGCCAAGGTGCTGTGTCCACAGCTGGGTGGGTCCGTGTGAGGCAGTGGCTGTGTTTCCTGCCCCCCCAGGAGACCCTGGGGCAGAATCCAGGAGCTGTCAGGGCGGGTGGAAAGTCGGATATTGCACTGCCAAAAGCTACGGGGGGACTGGCAGGTTCCCTGCAGGTTCGAGGGTTCCCTTGCGAAGGAAGTCGCAAGCCGGAGGCACTAGCTGCGCTGGGGAAGCCGCAGGGCAGGGGGGGAGCAGGGTGGAAGGGCTGCAGAGCAGGAGGAAGGGGCAAAAGCAAGCCACGCAGAGTCTCATGACTGGGGCAATGGGAGGGCAGACACGAGACGCAGGAGCAGAGAGGGGTGAGGCCCCCCCGGCGGGTAATGAATTCGATTTTCCCCAGCCCACTTGGACTTCTCTAGAAATCCCAGCTGTGGCTGACCTCAGGCAGTTAAAAATAGCCTGATGAAAAGACACATCCGTCCCCTATAAACAATAGCCACGCAGAGTCTCATGACTGGGGCAATGGGAGGGCAGACACGAGACGCAGGAGCAGAGAGGGGTGAGGCCCCCCCGGCGGGTAATGAATTCGATTTTCCCCAGCCCACTTGGACTTCTCTAGAAATCCCAGCTGTGGCTGACCTCAGGCAGTTAAAAATAGCCTGATGAAAAGACACATCCGTCCCCTATAAACAATGTGTTTGTCTAGCTGGGTCACCTGAATCATAAGGTACCCCCC